TTTTTTTTTTCAGAATAGTCAGACCTGCTTTATTGTTTATCCAAATTATTGATTCCTTCTTGTAAATAATATCTTGTTTAGACATTCTTTCAAATCTTACCTAAAATTTCAGTATGAAAAAATTCTTTCCAGCATCTGACTGAATTTACATCAACACAGAGGTTTGAAAATGCTGCAAAGCCCTAGTTTTTTATTGAACATATTAGCCATGACAATCTCCACTCAATCTATGTTGTATAAAAAATTCAGTAAAAATTCATATTGTGACCAACATTATCAAGGTTATCATCTTCATGCGCAATGAATTCCCTCAGTTGGTATCTAATATCAATAATTCGCGACATTTGTACATCCAAAGAATACTTAGAATTGATTCTCTTCTATTGCACTGATTGTTCATAGCGTCTGTTTCCCGAAGCTTTTATGAAATTTTCTGTTCACTTTAATTTCTTACATTCATATCTGCAAATTCAGAATATGTATAAGTGTACTAGTTGTAAATAAATCATTGAACAGTTGTGTATGTTGTTGTCTAATAGCTATACGCCTATTACTACTTTATGAAGTTGGGTGGGTGATGAGGGATAGCCCCCGGGATGCTGCTGTTAAGTCATATTTGAAATTTTGTTGAAATTTCGCTGTATGGATGTATACTTTAAATTCTCTCTTCGTGTTTCTTTTATAATTTTTCACAGGATAATAGAATGTACTCCTATCTAAAACCGCAGCCTGAACCGATACAGAATGAACTTATTGTGATACAGTACCCTGGAATTATCAAAAATCTCGATCGAGCGCTGGAGACACTAGGAGGTCTTCCAAAGATATCACAGGTAGATCGTCAGAATACGACAACCTAGCGCATGCATTAATCTTGGGGCCAGTATCATCTGAGACTTAAGGAGAATTCTACTTTTGCGTAGTTGTAGATAACTATTTATCATTAAGATGCTTTTGGGCTTTGAGTCTAGTTTTGACTTCTTTATTTAGAACCACTTCTGTGGTCATTCACTTGAGCTGCGACATACACCGGAGAATCCCTACACTAGCGCTTCAATCTCAGAGAAAAAAGTGGACGCTGTTGTAAGATTTCTAAAAAAACTCAATTTGTCTTTTTTGAATGAGCAGCGTATAAGGGAGGTTTAATTGCTCAATGAGATCGGTTCTTAAAATTGTTGCTTAGGTCACCTCCGGCACTCTTCGAGTGATAATGCAGATTCGGCGGAAAAAGAAAAAACCTGATGTGATTGAGACAAAGTTCCTTGGCTTGGTGAGTCTACCACATTTTTAAGTTTTGTGTACCCTAAACTCTTTTGGAGTCATACCACAAACACAGTTTGGGAAAGTAAAAGACAGCTTCCAGTATTTATTTCGCTTGTCGTTGTCATCTCGTTTATATTCAATGATAGTTTGTGAGCGATTTGTGTTGTCAAAACTAAGAAGGCGTTTCGGAAAAACTTACAAAATAAATCCTAATTCATTGATTCCTAGTTCATCTTTTCGTTCCAATAGCTAGGTTTTGCAGGTGAATTATCTTTACACGTTTGAGACAATGTGTGATTTTCAATATCTGCCATTAAAGAAGCGGCAAGATAAGGAAGTATTTGATGATCTTATACCCCGCCTTATTCCTCAAGACCTTCCCGGTGCCTTATGCTGGTGGGTTGCAAGCTTTCCTTAAAGTTCGTTCTTTGTTTAGTTATAAGAAAGAGACATTTATGTTTCAAAGAGCTCTTCATTCATTAAGGAAATAAGTTTTAGGAACTTTGTCATTATTACTATTCTCCATATTATCCTCACAAATTTTCAAGGTGGGATAAGCCTGATCCTCATCCTGGCTACACTCCTCTCTACCTCCCGCCATACCAGTTCAGTCGTTATAATACTCCCTCGAACAAACTGCTTTGTCGTGATACTGATTTCGCCATTGAGAAAAGTCGGAGAAAAACTGGACATGGTCAAAGTGGGTATTATCGCTGTCGCTAACCATTTTTGGCTTTTTAACTTGATGTTTACTTGTAGATTTGCGTTTACACAGAAAAGCACTTTCTGTAACTGTACAGGCGAATGACCCATTCCCATCAACCCCAGCACCAGAAGCAGTTGCAGATGCAGATTTTAGGTAGTACAGTCTCATCTTCACTGCAACATGTGCCAAACTTTTGTTCTAGATGCAAGAACGAAGAACCACACAAAATGATAGCAGCTTTGTATCGCGAACGACCGATGTGGACAAGAGTTGCTATCGCGTACAAAACTGGGCTTGAGTACACTTTGTTGAAGTGCGTAGATTTTTTCATCAAAGTTGTGTGTTTTTTTTTTGCAACTCCCTTACAGTATTGTTTTAATTTTTTGCAAGTAGGGTTATTCAAAAGTGCTAAGTTTTTTGAAGTTTTGCTAGTCATCATAAAATATGAGATTGCTCAATTTGTTCAAAAATATTCTAAATAATTGGCACGAACGAGCCGCTAATAGTTTGAGCATAGAATCAAACTAATGAGCACAGAGCTGAAAAGATAGCCCCAGAAAGTTCTCATACCCAGATCATCATAGGGCTAAACATTTTTATTACAGAACTATTTGGTATATTTAGAACTTTGCTACAAAAGTATGCTTTCTACATCCAATCAGGACCATGGGGGAGGCTTTGGTGCAAATTCGGTTATGATCCTCGAACGGATCCCGAGTCAAAGCATTACCAAACACTAATGG